GACCTTTTGGTGTTAATTGGAAATAAGTGTCTCATGGACTTTTCCTGCCCATGTTGGCTTTGAATTGCCAACCTCAGATCTCAGCCTCATGAGTAGCTAGGATTACAGGGGTGAATTGCCCACTGATCTTTTTTAAATGTTACATTTGTATTTCTTAAGGCTAGTCTGAGAAAAATAGTCGTTTTAGACCATCTGAAAAAAAAATCATTGTTCCAAGAAGTTGAACAATAAGACAGAACTGATATGAGGACATAATTATATTTTTATCTTATAAAAAAGTTTGTGTGAAATACAGCCCTAGTTCTGGACTTTGGAAGGCAGCTATGCTCACCACTATACCACCAACGCTAGTTCTGGACTTTGGGAATTGGCATTTTACTTGCCTTCAAGTCTGAACATAAAAAATATTTTATATAAATATTCCTATTCCATATTAAAACCAATAAATACCTACAGTTCTTCCTCTTTTAATAATTCAAATGCAAGTCTACAAAATACTTCTTCATAGTAAACTTCTAGCTTATGTTGACAGTATTATGTCTAGTATTGCTCTGATTTTTCTTGCCTTTTCTGTGGTCCAAATCCAGACATTTTCCAGCTGCCAAAATCCCACTCCCTGTCCCTGAGGGTGTTTTTGTAAGTCTGTTACAGTCCATAGCAGAGACAAGAGTATCAGGGTAACCCTCCCTAAGACTAAGCAATACTTCCTCTATCTGCACAGCAATCTGGATCTCGAGGACAAAGAGTTTTAAGATAGTCATTTACAAGTTTATTTTTCTGCTCCAGTCCTGGGACTTGAACTCCAGGCCTGGGTACTCTCCTTAGCTTATTTGTTCAAGGCTGGTGCTTTACCACTTGACCCACAGCTCACTCTACTTCTGGCTTTTTCTTATGGTGATTAACTGGAGATAAGAATCCCAAGAACTTTCCTACCTTGTCTGGCTTCTAACCCCAATCCTCAGATCTCAGCCTCCTGAATAGGTAAAATTAGTAGCCTGAGCCACCAACAGCTGACCAAAAGATCAGTTTTTTAAAACTATAATTATTATTTTATAAGCTTTAAGGAGTTGTACAAAGGAGTTACCATTAAGCAAAACAATTTATGAATACATCTTGATCCATGTCACCAAATGGTCTCATGACCATTTGATGCTTGATAAACATAGTATAAAGAGTGTACGATTCAACAATTGAATGACCCTACTTACTACCTTAGTCCTCTTTGCTTGCCCACACTGAGAAATACAGATCAAATCCAAAGGGACCTGCTGCAACAGGTCTTAGAAGAAGAGTGGTCGCAAAGTCTTGAGTGACTTCACCTTGAGTTTGTGCTACTGGTGCTGGATTAAGCCATTTGTCTCATTAGATTTTTGTGGGTTATCCTTAGAAAGGCTTCCTTTACTTCCTTGTTCCTCAGTGTGTAGATAACAGGATTCAGAGCCGGTGTGACCACCGTGTACATGAGCGCAGTCGCCTTGTCCGTGTCTGGCGTGTGTGCGCTCTTGGGTTGAAGGTAGGTGAACAGGGCAGTACCATAGAACAGGGAAACGACCAGGATATGGGAGGAACACGTGGAGAAAGCTTTGCGTCTGCCGGCTGCAGAGGGGATTCTCAGGATGGTCACGAGAATACGCACGTAGGAGCACAGAATCAGCAGGCAGGGGCTCATGATAAAGATGAGGGAAACAGCAAACAACACGATCTCGTTGTAAGAGGTATCTACACAGGCCAGTTTAACGACAGGCATGATGTCACAGAAGAAGTGCTGAATGGTACCCGGCCCACAGAACGGCAGGGTGAAGATCCAGGTCGTCTGCACCGACTCCACCAGCACTCCCGTGATCCAAGATGCTGCTGCCAAATTCAAGCGGACGCGAGGGCCCATCTGGAGTGTGTAATGCAATGGGTAACAAATGGCTACAAAGCGATCGTAAGCCATGGCTGCCAGCAGACAGCATTCCGTCAACCCCAAGATGGTAAAGACATACATCTGGGCTGCACAGCATCTCACACTTATGGTCTTGGGCTCTACCAGCAGGTGGACCAGCATCTGAGGCACCACGCTGGTGATGTAGCACATCTCCAGAAAGGAGAGGTTCACCAGGAAGAAGTACATGGGCGAGTGCAGGGAAGGGGAGACCCAGATCAGACCGATGATGAGCAGGTTTCCTCCCACCGTAAATAAGTAGACAACCAAGAATACAACAAAAAGGACCGACTGGAACTCTTCCAGAGAAGAAAAACCCACAAGTGTGAATGTAATGCAGAGAGACTGGTTTTCACTCGGCCCAGGTTCAGAGACAGACATCTATGAGGACAACAGAGAAGGCAGACAGTGACTTAATCTAACACAGGCATCTGGTAAACCTCAGCAACCCAGGGACCCTAGACTCTGTTCTGAGATGAGAACCCAGACATCTGGATTCCTCTGCTAGGTCTTTCCGCATGACCACCCAAGTAAAGTGGATGTGTACTTTTGCTTCATTTTCCTCCCACTCACCTTGTTTGGTTTTCACAGAAATTCATAGAGAACAATTTATTTCCTATTATAATTTTCATTTTTTAGATATCCTAATTCTATAAGAAGATGCCTTGTGTAATTAATATGAAGGCATAATGATCATAGTCATATAAAATACAAATGCAAAGAATAAAGTATGCAAGTATCCTCTTCTGATCCTCTAAACTTGACTTCCTACCTCAAAGTGATACTATTTCCAGCCTTTTATCTGTAGACTTTTCATACATTTTTTTTACTCACTTTGCTTTGAATAGAATGAGCAATTAATTAGGCAACCAAGATCCAATGAAACAAAAGCAGATGAATCTCCTTTTTACAACCTTAATGAACTTTCCCAGGTAATAAAGATTCAGAGGACACAACTAGGGTCACAAGATAGGTAAACATTCTCTTACCTGTTGATCTTCCAGCCTTCCTTTAATTCCAAAACGCTGGCAAGATGACAGGCCACAGGGATTACATCCTCTGCCTGGTGTCATTATGTTAGTCTCAAGACGATTGTGTTCAAAAACAACAGCAGCAATGAATGTTCTGTGTGCAATGTGGTTTTGGATTTTTTAATATTGCCAGAGGTAATCCATTGTTGTCCATTATATCAGTAACATTTCAATCAAAAAGTTTTAAATTGATACCTACTGTACAACTGTAATACTCACTGAACTGTGTAGATGTTTGTCATAAATATGGATGTTTGAATCTTTAAAAAGAGGTTACTAGCTGGACACTGGCAGCTAGTGCCTGTAAATCCTAACCACTCAGGAGGCTGAGATCTGAGGATCAAGATTTGAACTTAGCCTGGGAAAGCCCATGAGACTCTTATCCCCAACTAACCACTTAAAAAAAAGCCAGATGTGAAGCTGGGGCTCAAGTGATAGAGCACTATCATTGAATAAAGAAGCTCAGGGACAGTGTCCAGGCCCTGAGTTCAAGGCTAAGTAACAAAACACACACACACACACACACACACACAAAACTATGGTAATCATTTTGGACAGTGACCACTCAGGCCTTTGTAACATAACTGGGCACACATCAAAACACATGTAGGTAGGCTCCATTATTCCACAGGTTCACATCATTCATTTATGATTTAATTATTTAGTGGCATGAAAAGAGTATGCCCAGTCAGGAAATAATAAGTTGTTAAAAGGCACTAGTGAAACCAAACTTATTGTACTGTCCTCAGAAATGAAAACCTATTCATTCATCAAAACATCTTTACTTATTACTATGAAGCCAGTTTTCTAAATTCATGGGCATAAGGAGGAAAAGAGGAAAATGGAGGCTGAGAGCTCAAATCTGATGCTACTGCTTCATACAGAGCTGGCTTTTCTTCTCTTCTGCAACCAGTCACCAGTGCAACATTTCAAAACAAGTGATGTGCTGCTTCCAAAGTCCAAATAGGCCCAGGAGGCATGCCACGCCTTGATGCAGTAGTTTTATAATCAGTTTTTAGAGGCTGATGCAGCTCTGTGGTTTCTATTTGAACTTTCACAGGGTTTGAGGGCCTAATGTCAGTTGGGCCTGAATTTAAACTTCACTGACTACTTGACTTCCCTAGATTCCTACTGCACCTTGAAAGCCATGTGATATTTCGGATTTCCTCCATCCAGTGCCAATATAGCGTCAATGTCCAGTAGACCACAAAGGCCTGATTATTTCAGCATTTCCATTTTTTTAATGAACAAATTCCCTGGTAAATGATTTAGGCTCCTTTAGGGAAGTATGGAAGAAAGATTAATAATACACGTTATGACAGTGGACTGAGATCCTGGTTTCCCTTTTATCCAGGAGCTCTGAGTTTACAAGCTGAATTGGTTACTACAACTTCTAACCCTAAAACTTAGCTCTTAGTCCAAATGCTTGCCTATATTAAGGGGGAAAATTGTGTGTGTGTGTGTGTGTGTGTGTGTGTGTGTGTGCGTGTGTGTGTTAAATAAATTAAAGTTTTATTTCAAAACTAGAAAAGTACAATTCTTACTCATCTTGCCTTAGCATAGCAGTGTTATGGATGAAGCAAAAGCCAGGAAATACACATAAGTACGTATACCTATGTACCTCAGTTAGAGGAACTTGAAGATGGCTTTTCCCTTGGGAGAAGAGTTCCAGGACTCTTGAGATCAGCTTGTTTTCATTCTCATTTTTTGTAGGGATTCTAATTCCTCAAACTCCTGGTATAACTCAAGTATGGAAGTTGATTCAAGGTTCAAACTAGATTTTATTCACTTGTCCTAAAGATGTCTGCTTACATAAATCCAGCAAGGAATTTACTTTGCTTCTATTTATGTCATCTAAGAACAGGGTGATTAAACTAGCCAATGCACAAATCAGACACCTCTGAAAACCCTGTGTTTAGACCTTAAGAGTCCAAAACCCAGGAGTTTTAGATCCAAATTTAAACGTGTCAGGCACAGCTACTTGCAACTCTATGCCAAGTAAAGAGACATGGTGAAAGTATAATGGATTTTGTAGTATTTAAGAGGTTAAGAATTATCCTTTTGTATACTGTGCACTTTTCTCAAGAGGATTTACAGATCTTAAATTAAAAACAGAAGAAAACAATTCCCTGGAAACCTGTATTAGGATGGTAAAGTTTATTAAGGTTGTCTTAGCAAGTGGATAAAGTTTTCCATAAATTCAAGATTTTAAGCAGGATAAAAATGGCTTTCTGCATGGGTTTGTGTTATGAAACATAAGGAGGTTTTAAGAAACTGTAACTCAGCCTGAGCAGCCCAAGAAGGTACATTTTAATGAAGAATTGAGGACACTAATCTTATTTTAGTAATACTTAAGGACCTTACAAAATTTTGAATTCAGATAAATTTAACAAAGGGCTTGCTCCCCTAGTGAATCGTCTGAAGGCTGCTTTCATCTCTGTCTTTATCTGTCTCTTCCCTGACTCTCTGTCCTGTCTGTTTCTGTGTCTGTCTCTGTCTCTCTTTCCTCTCTACCTTAAGCTAGAAAGCTCAGGGACAACACCCAGGCCCTGAGTTCAAGCCCCAGGTAGGGAACACACTCAAAACAATCTTTTATTTATTTATTGTGAAAATACCATACAGAAGGGTTACAATTACATGGGCAAGGTGATGAGTACATTTCTTATCAAGCATTGTGGCCTCCCCATTTGTTTCCCCTTCCTATCCCTTCCCATCCTCCCACCCCCTCTACCCAATCCTCCTCTCCCGCCCCTACCAAAGTTGTAAAGTACATTTTTTACATAATGTATTGTACGTCTCATTGTTGCAATGGGTCCACCTGTATCCCTATTTAGACAATTGGTTTTTTTCCCTTCTCCTCCACAAATTATACCAACATCAAATACAGTGAAAGCAGGGGCTATACCATGGGGGAGGGATGTACAACACAACAAAGAAATCATCTTATAAATATGTTGGAAATAATTGCAAGAAAGAAAAAACATTTGAATCCTTATCTTGGGGTTCATTTCTCCTAACATCAACTTATCTGACCGTTTCTGCTTAGATATGGAACCAACCCAGATGCCCCTCAGTAGATGAATGCATCAAGAAAATGTGGCATATATACACAATGGAATTCTATGCCTCCATCAGAAAGAATGACATTGTCCCATTTGTTAGGAAATGGAAAGACTTGGAAAAAATTATAGTGAGTGAAGTAAGCCAGGCCCAAAGAAACATAGGTCCCGGGGTTTCCCTTATTTGCAATTACTAGTATATGTCAAAACAATATTCTAATATAGTTGTTCCCAACTCTCAAACAGAATAACTGATACTAAGGAACTAGGTTTGTCTATCATGGTAGATCACTTATATCACTTATCACTTACGTTTGGTTCAATCTTCAGCATCTAAAAAAATACACACTAAAAGTGGTGAGTCAAATTTAGGCAATTTTGCAAACACTTAAAAATTTAAAGTGTTTTCAAAGTGCTTTTAAAGTGTTTTCAAAATAAGAATAATATACCAGATTTCATGTCAAAGTGCAGTAATTACTTCATACTTTAGTAAAATTACCTTTAATTCCTTTCAGTATATTTTCCTTTTTTATATGTTATATCAGAATATCAATATTATATGAATATATGCTAGCTAGAAAACTGCAATTAGTACTCTAAGTACTTGTATGTGTTTTTGTACTTGTTTGTGTTTTGTACTTGTATGTGTTTTGATAGGTTTATTCTATGTATATAATAAAGGTACATAAATGTCAAGTTCAAAGAGTGAACAATTTCTGAACTGTTAAAGAAAATTGAATAGTTAAGTTGCTTTTCAAAGAAAGAAGACACAACTATATGCTGCCTACAACAAACTTGCTTCACTGATGAAGACAGAGCTGAAAGTGAAGAGTTAGAAGATGATATTCCATGTAAATGGGAACTTAGAGTGAACAAGATGATCCATACTACTAGCAGAGTATGTGACAGACTTCAATCTAATATTTTTTTCTTCCTCCTTTTTTTCTTTTTTTTTTATTGTGATAATACTGTACAGAGGGGTTACAATTACATGGGCAAGGTAATGAGTACATTTCTTATCAAGCATTGTAGCCTCGTCCTTTGTTTTCCCTTCCCATCCCATCCTCCCCCTCACCCCCTGGCTTAATCCCCACCCCCCTCCACACCAAAGTTGTAAAGTTGGTTTTCGACATAACGACTTGTACATCTCATTGTTGCAATGGGTCCACCTGTATCCCTATTTAAGCGATTTGTTTTTCCCCTTCCCTGCCACAAATTATACCTTCATCAAATACAGCGAAAGCAGGGGTTATACTGTGGGGGAGGGACATATCAAGCAACAAAGAAATAA